AATTTATTTCAGTCATTCATAGAGAGTAAGGATACAGTGAGTTTGGAGAAAGTCAGGTCGGCTCTTCATAGCAGGGAGTTGCGTCACAAGGCATCATGTTCTGGTACAGATGACCAAGCTTCTGGGTTGTTTGTAGTTGGTGGAAAGAACTTTGGAAAAGACAAAAGGTCGTTTACAAAGGGTCCTAAGCCAACTGATATTAGCAATTATTGCAAGGAAAATAGACTTTGGAAGGTTGATCGTCCTAAGAGGAAGAAGAAGCAATCTGATTCCGCTGCTGTAGCAGAGAATGAAGCTAAGTCTGATGACGATATTGCTCTAGTTGCTCATGGAAAAACAGTTTCTAGAGGTGTGTGAGTTTTAGACACATGAGCGTCTTATCATATGTGTCCTAGAAGGGAATGGTTCTCAAAGTATGAGGAAGTGACTGATAGTAAGATCAAAATGGCCAATGATTTCGTTTGCGATGTTGCAGGAATCGGTTCGATAAAGCTCAAGGCACATGGTGGTAGAGTCTGCACATTGACCGGAGTTAGACATGTTCCAGCTATGTCCACAAACTTGATCTTAGTTAGTCTTTTGGATAGCAGAGGTTTTAAGTATTCAGGTGGAGATGGAGTTCTGAGTGTCTACAGGGGTTCATATGTGATTCTAAGAGGTTTCATTCATGGTACTCTGTATTTGCTGGAAGATTCTAAAATTTCATCAAATGGTCTAGAATTTTGTTCATCAGAGTTCAATCAGTTTTGTAAGGATGCAACAGCTACTAAGCATCTTACAATCATGGATACACCGCAGCAGAATGGTGTAGCAGAGAGAATGAACCAAACTTTGCTGGAGGAAACGAGGTGTATGTTTTCTAATGCATGTTTGGAGAAGAGGAATGGGGATTTTGACAAGCAAGTGGAGCTGCAGGAAGTGCAGTCGGATGAACTGTGTCGATCGATGACAGATCAACAGTATCGATTGATGACAGATCAGCCGTGTCGATCGATGATGGATAAACAGTGTCGATCGATGACGGATCAACAATGTAGATCGACATCGGATGATCAGTATCGATCGACATCGGAAGAAGAGATCAGATCGAATGATTCTTGTGCGTCGACCCAGGATTGAACGATCCACATACATGGGATCGAACGATCAGACGAGTTCTCCAGTTCTGGAAATCAACGTGTTAGGTTTGAAAAATGCAGTAGTGCTAGAGATAAACCAAGGAGGGTTGATGTCAGGCCACCAGAGAGATATCACTTTCATGATATGGTGGGTTATGCGCTGCAGGTTGCAGAGGAAGTGGATACTTATGAGACATTCACTTATAGAGAAGTTGTTTCTAGTTCTGAGTCTGAGAAATGGTTTACTGCAATGGAAGATGAGATAGAGTCTCATGAGAAGAATCATACATGGGATGTGGTCACACTATCATCTGAGTACAAGAGGTGTGACAGCTATATGGTCAAGTTGGGTTACGACATGAGTCCTTATGACTGTTGTTTTTACATGAGCAAGGTGGACGATGTTTCGTATATCTACCTGGTGTTGTATGTAGATGACAAGTTGATAGCTTCTAAGAAGATGTATGATGTTTAGAAGCTGAAAGAGCTGCTGAATTCTGAGTTTGAGATTTTCTGGTACCTTAAGGGTACATCTGATGTTGGTCTTGTGGAGACAAGGATCCGAGACTGGTTACTGGGTATTCTGATTCTGATTATGCAGAAGATGTGGACAGTAAGAGATCTATGTCTGGTTACATATTTACTTTGGGTGGTTCCGTTGTGAGCTGGAAGGCGACTTTGCAGTCGACAGTGACTTTGTCTACTACTACGGCAAAGTATATGGCCTTGACAGAAGCTGCTAAGGAGGCAATATGGTTGAGAGGATTATCTGTGATTTTGGTCTTCATCATGACCAGACTACTGTGTTCTGTAATAGCTTGAGTGCTATCTGTTTAGCCAAAGATCAGGTTCATCATGAGAGAACCAAGCATATTGATGAGAGATACCATTTTATGAGAGATGAGAAGAGGATTGAAGTGAAGAAGGTAGGAACAACTGATAATCTTGCGGACATGTTCACTAAGCCGGTTCCTCATAGCAAGTTCAAGCATTGTCTTGACTTGTTGAATATCTCAAGATGTTAAATCTGGCCTGATGGGCGTCTGGCCCAAGTGAGGGAATCTGGCTCTGAGGAGCATCTGGTCCGACGGGACATCTGACATCTGAGTTCGACGGAACATCTGAGGAAAAGAGAGAGTCTGGTACATCTGAGCACGAAGAAGTGCATTCTGGTACATATGATTATGGAGGATTCAAGTCAAGGTGGAGATTTGTTGAAATATGCCTTGAATCTGCGATCTGACAGATCGATCGATTCAGGAGTCATGAATCGGTCGATCTGACCTGACACAGATCGGTCGATTCAGGAGTTATGAATCTGTCGATTGTGTCAAATCCGAGAAATATGGAAAGTTTCATTAAAAGCTTTTCTTATATATCTTTAGGGTTTTACCCTATTTTGTAACACAAATTGTACTTTGAGAAACCAGTCTCCATTAATAAAGTATTTTTTTTGCCCATGGAGTAAACCACGTTAAATCTCTGTGTCGTTCTTCATTGTTTGTCAATCTGTTAATCTATATCATAGATACTACACTATCTTGGATGTTAAAACCAATTAATGATTAAGTTATCCTGAGAAAACAAAGCTAATCTATATGCAATCCCAAGTAGCTGTGTTATGAGGATGTCTAAAACCATCAAAAGGCACTTGATTATATCTATTATATTAAAAGAGAAGTCATGACTCATTTCATGTGTGATTTTTTTTATTTGGACCATTAGCAAAAAAAGATTTGTTAACTATATTTCATTTCTTTGTAACCACTTCAATCATAATATCTTTGATATCTTTTTATTTTAATATAAATATGTATTAATTCTTTTTTAAAAATCTGTTGAAAAGATTTTAGCAAGATCTTAACTTTAAAAACATTATATAAATATTTCACTAATTAATAA